GTGTGTGTGTGTGTGTGTGTGTGTGTGTGTGTGTGTGTTACAGGAGACCAGCAGTTCAGTTGCTGCGACTGGAGTTCGTTTCCTTTCCGGGTCTCTCGGGCCAAGAGACATGTGCTTCAAATACAACAACTTTACAGAACATGTCATAATTGCACTGACTGCAGGAGTTCCTTCAAAACTTAAACTACTCAACCCTCCTCAGGAGGTAAAAACAATCTCTTAGTTAATGAATGTTTTATGCTCTTAAGATAAAACTTTATATAAAAGCTATTTTCATGTATTTTTTTTCAGTCTTTGCAAATATTTAATGGTCACGGCATCCCCAAACCATTCCTCATCCAATTGTGCGATAATTGGGAAAACCCGTCTCCAGACCAGAGAGTTGTGGTAGAAATCAGGTCTTCACCCCAAACATTAAAGGTTAGCTTCCCAATAATTAAACATATCAAGTTGATACACTATTATAAAAGCTAGCAATGCTCTGAATGTTGTTATTGAATAAATATAATGTGATCTTGTTGTTGTAACAGGTGTCAACAAATGTCATTTCACAACCTGTCGACKTCGAAGGAAAGGCATCTTTCAGAGTTATTTCTGTGAAAGGTACAAAGTAAGTTTGAAAAACATTTTAGCCTGTTTTACAATACTGAAAGTGTTTAGTAATCTTTATTAATCTAATGGAAAGTTTCAAAACTTTAACACTGTCATCAAATTTGCATTACATAAATGTAAAAAAAAAATTTAGACCTCATTTTAAAAGTTAAATAATGAATCATAATTAAACTGGTTCCACTTCTTAAAAACATTTGGTTCTTTTCAGTCAGTTAATCTTCCTAACGCAGCTATACCACACTGAACAACACCAGATCTCATCTGATAATGGAAGCTAAGCAGGGTTGGTCCTGGTTAGTACTTATGGGAGACCATTWATAATTTAGGGCAAATCCAAGATTTGATGTCTGTAAGGTTAAATTGCAAACCTATTTGAAAATAACATAAAAGCCAACTGCATAGTAAAAGTGTTTTCATACCTGTTTAATGTATCAATTGAAGAACCTTTTTAATACAAGGGTAATTTTAGTGACAATATTTGCAAGACAAAAATTTTTTAAATTAAACTTCATATTATGATACTTGATTAAACTGTAGTTTGTTTATATCAATGGTAGCATTTATTCGACCTATAAGTTGTTTTTCCTGGCTACTGTCAAGCTAAAATGTACATCTAATAAGTCATTTTATATCTCCTCACTGAAAAGTGACAGGTAAGAACCAGAGCTATAAAGTAACTAGATACAAATACTTTGTTACTGTACTTGTGTAGAAATTTTGTTTCTGTACTTGAGTAACTATTTAACTACTACTTTTTACTTCTACTCCTTACATTTTTACACAGTTATCTGTACTTTCCACTCCTTACGTTAAAAAAAATATATAAGAAGAAAGTTGTTACTCCTATTTCATTCCAGCTTATTGTACAAAAAATACTATCCAATAAATGGCACCTCCTGGATAAACTGAATTTAATTGTGGTTGGATGAGCTCCAAATGCTTGTCAAGATGAAAATGTAAATTAAATGTGGAACAGTTATTGCATTATACAGCGTATACAGTGCTTTATCATTGAATAACCCTCTTACTTTGCAAAGTAATGCAATAGATTTAGATATTTTTATTCTTTAAAAATTTATTTGAGATTTACATGTCAGCTGAATCATCAATGATGGCACCCAAAAAAGCTTCACCTCACTGGACTCTACAAATCTCACCACCATCGACACAAAATGGAACATCAATAGTTTTCTTTCTATTACTAAACACAATATCATGTAATAAGTTTTATCCACATTTAATGATAATTTATTAAGTTGAAACCAAGGTTGTATTTCCACAAATTCTGTCTGCATTCCATCTTTCATCATTTCTGTTCTATATCTTTACCCAAACAAAAAAATGTTCTACACAAATTCTTAGTAATATTTTAGAAATTACATCTGATTTACAATTTGATGTGATCAGACAGACTAAACCTATAAACTAGTATTTACAAACTACACACAACAAGAAAAGGAAAACTAAATAGCAAATGAACTTTACAAACCATCTCTGCTCAAGCACAAATGAATCAATAACGTATTTCATTGAAACAAAAGCTTATAGAAGTAGTAGTGTAATACTGGTTGAAACAGATAAGACTTAAATATCTCAGCTTCCAGATTTGAATTGCTATCTCCCTTCTCATCTCTCTGCTGCCCCATTATCTCCTTCATTCTAAATAAAAGCGGTGTTTTGGCTAACATTTGTATCAAGTATGTTGTTGATTGATTTCATTTTTTTAGCCAAACATTATTACAAGACTATAAATAAGTAACTGGCTTTTGGACGATTTGTTTGTTGCAAAGGTGCTAACAATGTAGCCGATTATTCTTTTACTACTTAAGCAGTTGAAATCTCTGTAAAGCTTTAAGTAAACATAAAGGACTTACCTTTTAGTTATTGTCCACCGCAACGTTGATTAGCTTCCGTTAGCATTAGTGTCATGACCAGGAACTGCTAGCAAATGCAGCCATTTGATTGGTCAGTTGAGGAAGACCCCTGATCTATGGATCTCAGTGATTGGTCGGTTGAGCAGCTCAACTTGCTCAACAGGGCTCAATGATTGGCCGGTTCGGGCTCAACATAGGGACTTTGGGGAGAAGTTGCCTAAATTCAATGTTGGAGTTGCGCCCACATTGGTCACTAGCAATAGAAAACCTTGGACCATAATAGGTCCCCTTCAAGCAGGATGCTAAATCATCAATTAAATCATACTTTCTAAACAGAGAAACAAGTGTTTTAAATGCACCTGAACTATGACAGTGACATTGCTCCAACACTCACAAAAAGGACTGTTATGGCTCTTTTTTTTCCATTAGAGGGTACTATCAGCTGGAGTTTAGAGGTTCCTTTAACAACAAACCAATCCCTGGTCCATCGGTGCAGCTCACAGTCATCCCTGATCCCAACAAACCTGTCAAACTGCAGGTGAACTACGACACCAGTTCCAGTTTTTGTGCAGGAGGCACTTTCCCTGGTTTGTACTTCTCRATGTCATTCATACAGTTGATTTTAGTGACAATTCAGGAAACTGAGGTCGACTGTGTGTGTTTCAGTTTTCTCCGTGATGGTGGTGTCTGAAGAAGGAAGTCCGATTACGACTTTTAACCCTGCTGATATGTCCATGTTTCTGTGGGAAGGAGATTCATCACAGATTCCCTCAGGGGTGAGTAACTGACTTCCAACAAGAAAAGCTGCCAAAAATGTTGTCAACTTGTGTTAAACTAAACTGATCCATATCTTTTGTCCAGGCCACTGAGCTGAAGTGCAGTAAACCCATGGAAAATGAGAAGAAAGAATGTTTTCACTTTAGGTAACATGTTTTTACCTGATCACTGCTTCTGTTTTGTCTGAAATTAGTTGAACATTTTAAAAGGATCCATGATTAATTGTAACATTAGAC